ATTGATCCTTACTGATGACATCATGTGGATTCTCTTGTTCCTTAGTTTCTGAGCTAATGGGAGGTGCTGGCAGTGGAACAGATGGAAAGAGTGGAAAGGGCTCAGAATACTTATTTCCTGCCCTTACCCATCCTTGGCACCTCTTTCCTGGTAGTGGCTACGGGCCTCCATGATTACAGCTCCTGTTTGGTAGAAACTTCTTTGTGGTTTCAGTTTTTTTCTGACTCTGTCAACCCTACTTTAATTTTTTTGTCTTTCAGGTTGATTGGTAGGTTTCTAGCTGTTGCTGGACTAAGAGTTCCTCAACATCTTTTATCAGTTCCATTAAAACTATCAACATCTCACAGAGCAAAAAGAACCCTCATTCATTGCTAGTGGAGATGCAAAATGGTACAGCCACTTTGGAAGTTGGTGTGGCAATTTCTTACAAAGCTAAACATCATTTTACTATGTAATCTAGCAATTATGCTCCTTGGTAGTAACTCAAATGAGATAAAACCTTATATTGTGCAAAAACTCCACACAGATACTTATAGCAGCTTTATTCATAATTACCCCAAACTGGAAGCAACCAAAATGTCCTTCAGTAGATGAATGGATAAACAAGCTGTGGTCATTCATACAATAGGATGTTAGTCAGAGATAAAAATAAATGAGCTTTCAAGCCATGAGAAGACATGAAAGGACCTTAGATGCATAGTGATAAGTGAAAGAAGCCAGTCCAAAAAGGCTGCATACACTATGATTCCAACTACATGACATAGTTGAAAGACAAAACTACAGAGACATAAAAAAGATGAGTGGTTGCCACAGATGTAGGGAGAAAGGAAAGGCAGAATAGGTGGGGCACAGAGGAATCTTAGGGCAGCAAACTATTCTGTATGATGCTGCAATGGTGGATACAAGGCACAGTGCATCCTTCCAGACCATAGAATGTACAATGCAAAGACTGAGTCCTAGTAGAAACCATGAACGTTTGTTAATAATAACGTATTGATACTAGTTCATCAGTCGTAAGAAAGGTACCACACCAATGTAAGATATGAATAATAGGGACAACTGTGAAAGGCATAGGAGGCATATGGGAACTCTGCACGTTCAGCTTAACTTCTCTGTAGACCTAGAACTACTTTATAAATGAGGTTCATTAATTAAATATATCACTGAACCATATGTATATATGTGGAGAAAAAGTCTGCCCTCTTCTCTGTGCATCACCTTCTTATTAATTTTATCTTCAGTTAAACTCTTTCCTGGGAAATTCTGTTTCCTGCTAGGGCCTGATTATTGTCCATTGTATCAAAAAGACATTGTGAAAATAAAGAAAACAGCCAAAATGATAATATTATTAAAACCTTGTTATTCATGAAATGCATGTTAGACACCAAAAATTGGTGGCTTTTCATATTACCAATGCTACAAAATTAATTAAGGGGTATATATCTTTTTAGATTCCTTGGCATTACCCAAGGTTTAGGAAATAGAGAATGATCAAATGTCCTGGTTTTCCTGGGGAAATCCTGATTTAGGCTGTTTTTCTGAATGTAGTTGTTAACAGAACCCCATTTTCCTCTCAAACGCTTCCTAGTTTGGATAGTAAGTTATAGAATTGTTGTGCCTCTAAGACTTTCTTTGCAAAAGGAGTTACAAAGCACCATGAACAGAGTCTAATCATACTCACCCCAGCCTGTCTGTTTGGGCACTGTCTGGAACAGACAGACTAGACTGAGAACAAAGGTGTGTCTGCCAGGACTAAATGTTCCAAAAGCAGATTTTTTATCAGATGAAACTATAACCTAGATCTTAAAATGATTGAATGCAACTTCTGTAGTGAAAAATCAGCTAAAGTCATATAAGGATTTGCTAAAATTGAACCTCAGGCCCCATGAGATCCTCAGCAGCTTGAACTGTGGAGAGCTGGTACAGCTAGGGTCATTGGTCTACCGCCTGGACTGTGAATCAGGTACAGAGTACAGAGGCCTTGCTCCATACCTACATAGCTGCTAGCCAGCTCCAGAAGCCAATACTCCACCTACCAGGACGGAGACCTTCCTTGAGATTTCCCTTTATTATTGTCCATTCATTCAATGAATGCCTACTCAACTCAGTCACTGCCTTGAAAATACAGTGGTGCATAACACAAGTTTTAAAAAAATCAATTTTAGTGGGAAGAGACAACCAATAAACAAGTAATCAAGTCAGTTAAATAATTCTTATAATGCTGAATGCTATGAAGGGTATAGATGCAAAATCCTTGTGCAGGAGAGAGGGAGGGCTTCTTTCTAAAGATGATAGTTGAGCTAATTCTGAAGAAGAAAGGGAGCTAGCCAAGGGAAATCTTGGCTGTTCAGCTCACAGCCCTGTTATTCGTGAAACTAATAAATAAACAGTGTGCCAAGAAGAAATATTATAAATTGTTTGAATGGTTTTTCTTGATAAGCAAAAAGAAAACCACTATTCTAGGTAATATTTGTGGGCACCGTAAGCTTTAGAAAGAATTGTTCTCTTGTTAGCAGTCATTTGTTAGTGATTGGTAATTGCCATCATCAAAATGCTAAATCATGTTGACCCGTCTCCTTCTCCACGACAAGACTTTCCCAACCTGTTCCAGTTACTATGGCAGCATAACAAATTACCCAAAACCTTAGTGGCTTAAAACAATGACAACACTTGTTTTGTTTATGATTTTATAATTGGGGGGACTCCTGGAAATAGATCATCTATGTTCCACTCAGCATTAACTAGAAAAGTGCAGTGAGGGGTCCTGGAATGATCTAAAGTCTTTCTCATTACCTGTCTGGCAGTTGGTACTAACTATTAGCTGAGATCTCCCTAATGCTTTTGGCCAGATAATTACACATAACCTTTCCACATGTCCTGGGCATCCTCACAACATGGAGGTTGTGAGAATCCTGACACAGAGAGAAGGCCAACTTAGTGCTGCGTTGCTTCCTATGATGCAGCTTCAGAAAGCACATAACAATACCTCAGTTATACTCAATTCATCACAGTCACAAAAGAGGCTGTCCAGATTCCAGGAAGGAAACATAGATCCCATCTCTCATTGCAGGTCACAGAGGATGAAGAACATGTGAGGTGGCATTTATTGGTCCAGCCGTCTTGAAAATATATAATTTTCCATGAAGCTCAATCTTTTGAGCTTCTCGTAAGACACTTCTATTTTTCCACTCCACATGCCTACAAGAACACATAAGGCAACTGCAGAGATAGGAGAAGTGAAAGAAACTGAGTGAGAAACTCAAAAATCCTCATCCGTGAACAGGCAGACAAGGAAAGCCTAGAGACTAATTCATTATTCACCTCTGTTCTGTGTATTTATGATCGGTATCAAGCTTGAATGAGTCAGTACAAATATGTTTAGAAAACTTTGGTTTGAACAAAGTAAAACGTTTTTTATATTTCTTATCTTCTTAGAAATTTTAGTAACTATTTGTATGTATTCTAAGAGGGACACATAGTGTGAAATTTATCCCCATCTTCTTTTACATGGAACGCTTTTTGCATGCAATCCTGAAATAGCTCATGGGACCACTTAGGACATTCTGTTAGGCCAATTTGTCCTAAGAGGAGTTATAGCAGATCCACAGAAAGGGATGTTTCATGGGTTTTGTGAGGGGATGAAAAATCTCTTCCAGGTCGAAGCTGTGAAAGGAATGTAATGTCTGCTTTTCAACTCTGGTTGGCAGAATGTTGTACCCTATGGTACCTGAATGAAAGATCTAAGCTGAATGTGCTCAATAAATATGCTGTTTCTGGTATGCCAGACTTCAAAACCAGAGCCCAATAGCATGAGTACTTCAAGGATTGCCACTGATGTAACCTTTCAGGGGAAAGGCTGGTCCATCAACAAATGATTCAGATGTGAGGAACAGTGGGAAGCCAAGCCAGTGAGTAAGGGACAACATTTGCTGCAGATGGAGCTCAACTTCACCCTGCCTTATTGGACCAAGTTCACTACCTGAGAGTGATGAAATGAGGCGAAAGAGAATGTCCTCCAGCACGAAGACTGCAGAAACTTACAAAAGAACTGTAGGCTAGAAATCTAGACCAGCCTCAAGATGCCAAGATTCCACTTAGAGGAAAGGGAAATACATCTGTGGAAATTAATGAGAAACACAGATATTCCATGGGAGTTCAGAACCTGGAAATTAGTGAGGCCAAGAAAAGACAGGGATATAACTGAGGGCAAATTTCATAGGAGTTTGCAACATGATATTTGAGTAGAAAGGAGCTTGGTTTGCTTTTGGCAGCAGGAGGAAAATCTCCATTTCACATTCAACAACAAAAAAGGGATCCTGGTGAGGACTCATCTGGAATCCCATCTTCGAATTTGGTGTCTTATTACAGTAGGGGAGTAGTTGACCTGGCCAAAATTCCAAGAGCCAGCTGAATTCTGTTGGGTTTGGGTATACTGATTAAATAAGTCAAATCCTCTTGGCCTTCTGAGCATCTTAACTCCCAACAATCACCCTAGGAAACATTCAGGAAGACTATGAAAGTCCTGGAAAATTCCAAGGGAAATATTTCTACCCAAAAGTATATGAAGATTGAAACAGCCAAGGAAGGAAGGAGATTATTGCTTTTGGAGAGCGGAATTTCAACCAGAGACCAGAGAAGACAGTTCATCCTCAAGATGCATTAAATTTTATACAAGGTCTTTTGTGGACTGTTTGGACACATTCTGCCTCCGGGCACCTCAGATTAGCTTCAGTACTAGAGAGTCTGATGATTTTTCAAAAACCGTGAATGCTCTCTGACACTGGCAAAGAAGCCTGGAAAAGATGAGATACCATACATTATTTACTAGCTCAATGATAGCTAAATGGTATTTTTCTTCTTTCAACTGGATTTAAAAGTGTATTTAAGGAATGAAATGTATTAAACAGAAGCTATTCACACTTAGGCAAAAGTCCTGTTTCAGAGCTGGGCAAGTGTTCACTGCAATCAGGATCATAATCACACCTGTACGATTTCTAGCATTAATTAGAAAACCTACCCAGACACTGAAATAATAAGATTGTCGACTTTTGCCCTCTCTGGGATCAGTGCCAAGTGACTGATTTTCAACATCCTGGTTCCATGTTGCTCTCATTGTGATCTCTCTTCTGATTCCTTACTTCTTACTTGCCTGCTTTTTTGCTCCTTTTCATTATCTGCCCCTGAGTTCCTTCTTCTTCTGGCTAGACTTCTGTCTTACTTATAAGAAATACCATAGATGGAGAGCTTGCAAGCAACAGAAACATATTTCTCAGCGTTCTGGAGCCGGGAGCTGAGATCACAGTGCTTGTGTGGTCGGGTTCTGGTGAGGGACCTCTTTCAAGTTGGAGACTGTCATCTCTTTTTTATCCTCACATCATAGAAAGGGAGCAAGGGATCACTCTGAGGTCTCTTCTTTGAGGACACTAATCCCATTCACGAGGGCTCTATCTTTATGACTGAATTTCCTCCAGAAGATATCACCTGCCAATACCATCACACTGAGTTAGTATTTCAACATAGGAGTTTGGAGAGTACATTAACATTCATTCCACTCCCCTTCTCTATTCACTTCCTTCTTCCACTGTGGACTCTATCCTGCTTTTATTCACTCCTTTTGCCTCTGGTTATAAAGGCATTCCCTTTTTTCATACCCTTGGTTAAAAACTACCCTGTATTTGTAAAAAAATGTCTTCTTCTGAGGAACTTTCTAGGAATTGTCTTCCCATTCTCAAAGGATCTTGTGTGCAAGAAGAAATTACTTTCTGAGGGCAGGTACCTTCTCCATAAATTTTTGATGTTCAACTCAAATTGGGAAGGAAAATTTCATACATTTTAATTAATTTATTTAAAAAGTGACTGATTGTAAGGTAGGTACTAGGAAAGAATATAAAGATTTGTCTCCTTTCCTTGAAGACATGCCAACTGGCAGACTTCATAAAACCTAAGTGAGAAAATGATGACAGCCCTTATGGACAGGATTTGAAGTAAGCCTCATAGCATAGTGAGAATTTAGATGTCCAGAGGTAGAAGGAGAAGAGAATGTGGCAATTTGGACAAAGAATGCATTATAATAAGGGACCATTTAGAGATTACTGGGCAAGAAGGAAAGGAGTGGTGAATGATGTTGGAAAGGGTGGCAAGGCCAGTGGTAGAGAACTTTTTTTTTGAAACGGAGTTTCGTTCTTGTTACCCAGGCTGGAGTGCAATGACACGACCTCGGCTCACCGCAACCTCCGCCTCCTGGGTTCAGGCAATTCTCCTGCCTCAGCCTAGAGAACTTTTAAGTATAGCAGGGGATACATAGAAATACAAAGAAGTGACAGCACACACTTTGGAATCACATGGAACTGAGTTTGGATCCAGGGTTCTCCACACACTCACACTGGCTGGCTTACCTGGTTGCGCCTCTGTTTCTGATCTTTAAAATAAGATTAATACCACTCACATTTCAGTGTTGTAAAAATGAGCATTTCCAAATTGTAAACACTGAGTTCAATAGTAAATGAAAAACCCTTTGCATGGTGTCTGGTATTTGGTAAAACCTCTAACACATGATGGCTATTATCAATGTTTTTTTATGCTGAAAACCTGCTTGTTATTGGAAAATAACATTTGTTATTGAAAAAGAAGGGGGACCTTTTAAATTGTCATTAAAGATCTTTTCTGTGGAAAGAAATGAAGTGAAACCTTTGTGTGTGTGTGTGTGTGTGTGTATAATGTTTCATATATGTTTATAGTATAGATAGATATGTTTTTCTCATATATGTATATGTCTTTCATGAGAAAAATCATGCCCAGGACAGCACACAGGTCCCAGGAGGAGGAAGAAAGTCCCCTGCAGCAGAAAGTCATGTCTGTACCTAGTGGAGATCAGAACTGTCCAGCCAAGTGCTGATCCCTCCCTGTATTCATGTTTTTCACCATGCAGACAGTGTCCTCCTATTGTGGGCGTATGTGATTCTACACCCTTGAGCTCTGACACCGTCAATGGGATTGGTAGCAATTATGATGTAAGCAGGACCTTGAAAAGTGCTTTCATAATTGGATTTGTTTGCTCTTTCCCCTCTGCCACTTTTATGAGGAAAAACATGTCCAGGACAGCACATGGGTCCCAGGAGGGGGAAGAAAGTCACCTGGAGCAGAGACACTTCTGTGGCCTAGTAGAGGTCAGAAATGCCCAGCCAAGTGCCATCAAGACCAGCGAACTCTCTGTCAGCCTGCAGACATGTTTTAATCCATGAGTTCCAGTGTGATTTCCTATGTAGCATTATTGTGACCACAGATAGTTGATACAATATGTATGTGTGTGCATATATGCATACATATATGTTTATGTGTATATAGAAAAGCCTGAAATGCTTTAATTATAATATTTTATTTCCTGTTATAAGTACTTGCTATATGATATTATGAATATTAAAAAATCAAAAAATACGTGTTCCCAAGATAATAACCTGTATGTGTATAGGATCCTACCTGACAGGTAAACATTTATGCCTCAGTGATCTTTGAAGAGGTATTTCTTTTCCTTAGAAAGCTGGGATCACTTACGTAGTCTTCTACTGGGTCTAGGTCATTGTGTGGTATTCAGTGAATATAATGGCAGGGATTCATTTGTGCAATAGCAAATTATCATTGCAACACATTTTCTGTTGCGAACCTTTCGTTTCTTTCTAAATTCCAGTAGAACAGAACTATCTGCATTCTTTTCAATGGGACATCATCTTGATTGCCATTTATAGCTCTAGGTATCCAACCATTGCTACAAATGTGTCTCCATAGTCACCAAAATAGTTGCCAAATTTTCTCATCAGAATTCATTCAAAGGTGCTTAAATATTGGCAATGTCCAATTAGCAAATGGTACAGGTAGGAGTAAGGAAAAGAAAAAATAGGGAGAACAGTTAAAGCATCAGAAAGTAATGTGTAAGAGGGCAGACAAGGGGATTTGCTTCACTCTGGGCAGTTTTGTGGGAGAGCAAGGGGGGCATTGGATGAAGTTTTATAAACATTCAGCCATTAAATGAGTCTGAAAGTGCAGAGAACTTAGGACAACGCCTGGCATAAAGTAACTGCTCAAAAGATGTTGAAGCATTTTCCTTCAGACCTTTGGAAGAAAATAAAACAAAAATAAGTTCCTGTTAAAGTTTACCTTTGAAATTAAGTCAAGAATTTTCTCCTCGTATTTGGACATTTGAAATAAGCCATTATTATATTCATATACTTTTCCACACATGAAACATTATTGATTGAACACAATTACACACCACCATCTTTTAGTCAAGTGACCCATAGATAGATGATAAGAACACACAACAATATTTTTACTCTTTTCCTTTATTCTTCTCTGTTTACCAGTTTTTGTTTGTTTGTCTTGAAATAGAGTCTCACTGTGTCGCCAGGCTGGAATGCAGTGGCGCGATCTCCGCTCACTGCAACCTCCGCCTCCTGGGTTCAGCGATTCTAGTGCCTCAGCCTTTTGAGTAGCTGAGATTACAGGTGTACACCACCATGCCCAGCTCAAATTTTTGTATTTTTAGTAGTGATGGGGTTTCACCATGTTGGCCAACATGGTCTGGATCTTCTGACCTCGTGATCTGCCCACCTCAGCCTCCCTCTGTTTAGCAGTTTTTGACAATTACTGTTTGTGGATGCTCCGCCATGGCCATGAACACTAGAAGATGTAAAGTTGTTCCCTGCTTTTGTACTGTTTGAAGCGATGAGATTCAGATGTATAAGGAGTTCTGACAAAAACAGGCAAGAATGCCATAAGGGAAAAAAAGTAACAGTGAAATTGATTCTAAAGGGAGATAAATTGTAAGAAATTGGAGGGGTGTTTTAAGTAATATTTCTCATAAATGATTAAAAACTGATGTCAGAGGCATGGAGAAAAAAAATCAGGTTGGGAGCTAGTTACTTCCTTTCTAAATAAGAATGTAGTAGATCAAAGAAGCATTGTTCTCAGCCCTCTACAGGGACTCTATGCTTTATTTAAGTAATTGATCTGAGGTAGCTCAGAGGCACCTTGGAGTTTGTGAAGATTATATTCAGCTTTTGCCACTGGACACCCAGGACTATATTTGTGGCCAAATTTAGCCACTGTTTCGATCTTATTTTATTTTCTCGTTTTATTTTCTATTCTCTCATCGTAAATTACCTTAAGTCCTTTTGTAAGATATAGAACAAATAACTAAGTAATGAAGACTATAAGAAAGTCATTCACAGTCCCCACCTCTCAATTTTTTCAATTGTAAAATGAAAGACTAGGATTAAGTTAAACTGAGTTTATTTTTTACTAGCTCTAATGTTTTATGATTACATGAATGAATGCAGGATTGTTCATAAATGAATAATAGCTTAATTTAGCCAATACTTAAAAGTAGTAGACATGAAGACTTTCTCTGTAAGGGCATAAATAACTTGACTTCAAACCGTTGGGTGAAGTCAATATACCAGAAAGTTTCAATAGTAAATGTCTCCTCTCATTTATTCCCTTTTAAGAGTGGTTTGACCATATAAATGCATAAATAAATAAATGGCTTTGTGTGTCCAAAATTTACTGGCAGACATCAGGTCTTATGAGACATCATATTATCAATGATACCTTTCAATTGCTTTTAAAATATAACCAGCAACTTCTCAGGTTTTAGAGACCATATCAAACATATATTCTTAGAGAAAAATAGTAAAAAACATGTATTCAACCCTTAACTAAAAATAAACAATGAAAACTCTAAAGGGTACTCTAGTCTTGTATTATTAGCTATCAATATTTGTTAACCAACAGGGGAAGCTTCAAAAAATGAAGGATATGGTTGTTCTTGGTGGTAGATTCTTTAGGAAGGTGAAAACTATGGAGGGGAGAAATTTCACCTAAGGCTTTCATAACAATAAGAGTAGATATTATAAAGTAGTTACTAGGAACTGCAGGGCTAGTAAGTTTCTGAGCTCTTTTCTTAACAACCTCATTATAGATTATAAATGAAGCACATTTTCGATTTTTATTAATTCAATTTCAATTATATTTAGTTTGATGATCTAGTGTCTCTGGATATGAGACAAAAGAATATGGAGTAAAAATGCAAATTTGCTAAACATTAGAGAGGCACAAATTAAAATATTAGAAGGCAGAGAAGAAAACAGAAGTATTGCTTTTGATACCTACTTCCACCTTGATGCTACTTAGAAACGATTTGGATAATCACATTCTTAGCACAACATCAAATTTACACTTCCTGTCATCACAGTTGAAGTTTCTTAATCAACTAAAGAAGGTTGCTTCTGGCAGTAAGTATGGAATCTATTCTTCTAAGAACTGACTTAATCATTAAGATAAGAATGTCAGATGGCATGATGTTGATGAGTATTTCACACCTCCAAATACATCACTTCTGTGGAGCAGAAGAATGGTAACATGGTTGAGACCAGAAAAAAAAATGTCTCTGATTACGTTGGGTATAAGCCCTGATCTTAGTAGGGGGGAGTCATCTTTCTAAATAGAAAAAAATCACTGAGATGACACTCTTAACTGGTTCAACATTCATGTTGAAAAATGAATGTACTTTAGAAATTTGAATAGATGTTTTCAGAACTTTGGTTCCTAGGGATAAATAAAAACAACTATTAAGCCAGGTCAACGAGGAGAGGAGTGAAGTTATATCTCTAGTCATCTTTGACTGTCAAATTTATTGCATTTTTCTCAATAAAGATTGTCTTTTGTTTAATCTTGTACTTAAACTTGTTTGCAAGCTTCAGTGAACAGGGAACAGTGGGTTTCCAAAAGCAGGCTGAGAGACAAAGACAGACAGCTTGGTATTGGTGGGTAGTGTGCTCACAGGTGGTAATTAAATGTGCCAGATTTCAGCTACTGAGTACTGTACTGGAAGTAATCAATATAGGTGGACAGGTATGTGTTTTAAGATTGAAATTCTGGTTGATACTCATTTTATCTTCAATGATACCACCACTTTAATAGATGCTTAAATTAGGAATCTTTTATTTCCTCTGAATGATCAAAGTTTGATAATTTAAAAATCCAGAAAAATAAAATGAATCCACTGTTTTGGCAATGTTTCCCATCCCCCGGCACTCCCTGTGAAATTCACACTCCTGGGCAGTTGGATATTCTGCTAACATAAATCGTGTGAACCAACTGTGGGACAATGCTAGAGACAGCCAGGGTGAACTATTGCTGTTTCTCAACTCTTGTTCCCAAGTAGTGTGTCTTATACCTGTTTCCTGGGGCCTATAACATGAAGAGTTCATGCAAATGACTCCTTTCTACTGAGAAATCACGAAAGGCCGGGAGGGGGTCACATATTCTGACACTCTTCTAGCAGGCTGAGAACAGGCCAGATCCCAATCACAGTGGACCACACAGGGCCACAGGGAAGGGAAACTGCTTAACTTGAATGTGTCATTACTTCCTGGACTCTGAAAGGGGAATTTCATCTAAAATTCCCTTGCTAGGCTCCCAACAAAAGCAATAAAAGTCACTAGTAGTGCCTGGCTCCTTTATTCTATCCCTTCATTTACTTTTGATTAACATTTTACATTCTTTTAATTATTTTGGATTGATTTAAAAAAAATAGAGCAACTCAGCTTCCACCCTGGAAGCTGACTAAAAGAAGCAGCAATAAATATTTTTGAATGAATACATCTTAATTCAAGGCTGGGCAAACCAGTACGTTTTTAGAAAGTATTTAGGATGATATGGCATCTTCCAAGACAAAGACAGGCCTCCTTCTCCTTTGACAAACTGAATTGGAGGCAATGGAGATGTTACTTGTGTCTGCACCCTTTGATGTATAGTAGAGACATTGGGCTTCACCTTGAAGGGCTCTTCAGGCTGCTGGGCAGGCCTCTCTTTCCCTTGCTGCCCTACTTTAATATCATTTACCATACAATATACCTTTTGGCATGACAGTTCTCTGCTTCAAGTTCCTACCCATCCACCCAACATCTCCCTGCTGCAGTTGGAATAAAATCTGCACCTGACATTGACCTCCAAGGTTCTGTGTGACCTGACTCTTGTTTATATCTCCAAACTCAATGTTATACTCATTCCCCCAGCTCAGTCCCACCTCAGTGCCTTGGGCTTGCAGTTCCTTCTCCTTGGAATATTCTTTCCCTGATCTTTTAAAGCCACAGATTCAATGTCATGTCTTTGGAGACACTTTCTTGTCTCCATTCCTCCTAGCTAAGCCATCAATATCACTACACCACCTTGTTTTATGCCCTTCACAGTATCTATCACATCTGTCACTTTCTTCCTTATTATTTCTTGACAAGCAGAATATAAACTCCAAGATGACAAGAGCATCTCAGATAGATCCCTATGTCCCTAGTACTTGAAACACTTTTGGGCACAAAGCGGATAATCAATAAAGATATGGTGCATGAAGTAATAGATAAACTATTACTATGATATGATTAGCTCACTGCAGCCAGAGGGAATGGCCTCAAATAGCTTCTTTTCATCCCTACTTCTACTGAATTCTGTTCTCATTGCATATGTGGTTTCTCAATCACTTGCTATTCCTACACATAAGTGTCCTTTGTTTAGCTTGCACTTCAAATCTCTGTTTATTTGTCATCTCTAGGAAATCTTTCTTGGCTGTCCCAGACTGGATTGGGTGCTTCCTCTACACTTCCTTTGGTTAGAGCTCTACTCACGCTGTGTCATGGCTCCATGAAGCAGAAGCAATTCTATTTCTCTTAGCATCTAGAGTGTCCAGCACATTGCCTGCCTCCATGAGAGACTTCATACCTGTTTGTTGAATCCATGAATGTGAGTTTAGAATGTTTTTAAACGTACAAACTTTATTACTTTATCAGATTGTACACAGAACACTCATGATTCCTATTTGTTGAATGTATGAATGCATAGTTAGAATCATAGATTGTTTTGGAACATGTCAGTGTGATTACCTTTCTACATTTGTACATAAAACACCCATGGTGTTCCACAGGAAAGGCATAAGTCATCACCCTGGTGCTTTTTTTTTTATCTCCTGCTTAACCTAGTAATTAACACCTTTAGAGCTCTTATGTTTTGCCAGGCTGCAGCTGAGGCCTTTGCTTGGATAATTTCCCTCACGTCAGCTCTAGGAGGTAGGAAGTGTTGGAACGACTACCATCCAGTTGACAAAACTGAAGCTAAATTGCTCAGCATCACACAGCCAGTAAGTGCTGGAGGCACAATTGGAACTCAGGCAGTCATGGATGGTAACATCTTCACTGGTAAGCACAGAGCAACAGCACAACCTCAAAGCAAATTTGATATAAATGCCACTGGTAACTTCTGTGCTTGTTAACTGAGTGTGGTTACAAATATCATACCTAAAAACTCTAATTAGGCCATTCTCCTTTTCCAACACCTCTCTAATCTCATGAAGGCCTAAAGAACAAATTCTCAGTTCTCTGTGATAGCAAGACCTGCTACCTCTGCATGCTGTTCCCACCGTTACTCAATGTGAGCACAACCTTTTGCTGGTCTCTAAATGAGCCTCGATTCTTTCTCTTTTTGCTTGTTCATTTTCTCCTTTGGCTTCTACTCATCCTTCTAGAACAACCATAATTCCTTTCTTTTTCTGGTTTCCTTCAAAAGAAATTTACTTCCCATATATTTCAAACTTACTCATTGTTTAATTCTAAACCTTGATAGGCTGCTTTTATTCGAGCTGGAGGATTTCTTTCTCTCCATGCCTTCTGTATAACTGAGGGAAAAAATACATCAAAAAGTAGATGAGATTATAAACAAATGATCTTCTGCAAAATGTATGAAGAATGAACTAGGGGAGTAAGCAGAGCTTTAGGTAACATTTTCTTGAATATATGAAACAAGAAATTGGGTTATTAGCGCACATTAATCATATGAGAAATTTACATGAAGTTTGGAAGCTTCACATAAAATAAAAATAAATAAATGTATTTCTTTGTCACCTCTTTGAAGAAATGCTCCCTTGTTTCATCCACTGCATTTCGTATTTACTTTTGTTATACCCCTCACTACTGTGGATTGTATGCATTGTTTTATTTCTCTGTCTCTCTCATCAAATTTCTAAGATCAGGATCTGGCCCTTTGTGCCTAGGACATGCTTTGGAACATGACGTATCTCTAAAACAAACAAACAAACAAACAAACAAAAACCTTGCTACAAATAAAAGAATACACACACGTAAATGGCTAAGATGTAAAAGTGAAAAACACCAAGGGTACAAGCTCTTTGCCAGTCTTTTTGGTTGTGTCTCCTGAAGTTTAACATGCCAAGGGACCCAACAATTCTGCCATCGAGCATATATTGTCACTAAAAAAAAATGAGTGTTGATGATCATCAAAAGACTTGTATCACTATTTGTTATAGTTAGAACCTGGAAATTACTCAAATACCCAGAAATAGAAGAGTGCATAAACAGCAATGAGAATGCACAAACTAGAACAACAACAAAAAGCTAGACACAAAAAGTACATCTGTATGATTTCATATATTTAGTTTGGAAAGTGGCTACATGAATTTATGCAATTAGAATTCAGAAGAGCAGTTACCCTTGGTGGAAGAAGTAGGGACTGCGAGCCCCGCAAGTCAGCTTCTTGGTGCTGGTAATCTTTTGTTCTTCACCTAAGATCTGGTTATGCAACTGTGGTCACTTGGTAAAAATAAAGCTGAGAACCTTTCCTCGGTCCATTTTGTACTTTACCAAAAGGTAGAGTAGACAGTAAAAGAGGAACAAGGGAGGAAGGAATAAGGGAAGGAAAGAGAGAAAGAGAAAATTTTTGAATAAAGTTTAATTTTTTAAAAAGTTCTGTGTCTTTACAAAATCCCAAGCCCCACAATTTATTTCAACTGTTCATTCAGAACCACAAGTGCTTCATTTGAGCACAAAATCTTACTTAGTTGGCTAAGAAGCTTGAATGTTCCAGTTATATGGAACATTATAAGTGATTGAATTATAGACGCTGAATTCCAATGATTGCAAAGCACAAGATGGTACCCCTGAAAATGGATGTGAAAACGGATGCATCCTTGTAAGCATCCATCCATGTGACTACCAGTGACTGAATGAGGAATTCTAGCTCATTCCGCTGAAAACCCAGTTTTCGTTGGCTTGCCAGGGGAGGCCTGATTGTCAATTGTGCCTGAAGGAAGTGAGTGCTTTTAAGCGTTGACATTTCTCCTTTGTGGACAGTGGAAGTGATGGGCGCACACACACCTCCTGCTAACTTGCAGTGACTGGACTCTATTCAAGCCAGTGCTTCCATCCCACAATGCTTGCATTGGAATGGCCACATTCATACCATTTATTTAGTAAGTTACAAGGTTATATTTCTTCCGCCTGTCACAGACGTGGAATTTGATCTGTGTTTGTTGGCGAGGGTGGACACGTGAAGATCAAACGCAAGCTTTGTCAAACAGACGGTAGTCTTCTACTAAGGAAAATTACTTTTCCCCCCATTTTCCTAAGGCAAGTAAGTGAGAATGTCAGGAGTTATGATAGTGTTGAATTTCAGATCAGGTAAACTGACAACGAGCCCTGCTGTGAATTGGAGTGTTTTCTTTTGAATGTTTTGGCAGCTCCTTGAAAGCAGACAGTGAGCCTCAGACTGTCAGCTATTATGTTTGATATTCCTTGATGTTGATACTGGATATGGATATGAAAGTACATTGTGCATTTGGTTTAAAAACCATGTGTGTGTGTGTGTGTGTGTGTGTGTGTGTGTGTGTGGTCAGTACATTAGAAATAGCTTGAGGACAAGGTACCACTAAAATAATCCCAGGTCATAAGTCAGTGAGTAAAACTATTTGAATGACATCCTGAGCTGCCTACCTTTTCTAGAAAGAGACACACCTTTGCTTTTTATAGACAGTTAAAAGAAATTGCGTCTGTCCTATATGCTTACAAGTTTTATAATTGTCTTTGGTGTGCATGTCAGATTTTATGTTCATATATAAATTCAATTGCCAGAGCCCCATCTATGTGATGAAAACACATGAAGCAATGTTTTATTAGAAGAACGCTCAACAATCAACTTGACCTTTTCCTTTAATGCTTCAACTAAAATTTTCTCCTAAGGTATCCAGAATTATTTGGATTCCTTGTAGATATAAAATCTATGTTTTCTACTTTGTGCTTAATGATTGTTTCAAGTCAAAACGTCCCTGGGATGAATATGCCCCTAGTTATTATGTAACTCATTAACAGTTATTAGCTAAATATTATTGCGCATAAATTTAAGATTCATTTGATTCATTCCTGTAGACTGGTTTTAACAGCAAGTGGGTACCACTGAGAGGTCTTTGGAAGAAGAAAATTTCAAGGACATAGGGAGAAGAGATTTCCAAAGGAGAAAAGCATATCTTAACAGTGCTCTTAATCATCAGAAGGGAGTTCCAGACTCCTTTTAGAATTTGAGAAAGACATATATGAAAATGCAAAATGTGGATGACAGTCTTAGTTTAAATTCCCCAGAACCAGACACATGGAAAAGGTTTGAGGGCAAGTAGTTTATTTGAACAGTACAAGGAGCTTGGGTGGGTGAAGGGAGGGAATTGATGTGGGGAGAAAAAGCAGGCAAGAAAGTGTCTTATTAAGGCACTTTCCACAAAGGTGATAAAATCCCAGGGAGAAACTCTGCAAAGTGATGCAAAACACACACCTCAATATTATCTCAGCCAAAAGACCCAATGCACAGTCATTGGTTAGGCCTGCCTTGGTAGGATGTGAATTCACAGACACAGCCATTGGCAATGCACAGGGCAACGTGTGTTCTGAGCCCGAGGGAAGTCCCATGACAAAGATGAAGGTGTTATCCCCAAGTGGTGGGTGCTTAAAAAAAAAAAACAGAAGAAGAACAAGAAGAAAAGAGAGATGTAGGTGATGGCCATAGGAAATCAGGCTGGCACACCCAGCAGTGAGAAAAATAAAGAACCTATGAGTAGACAGTGTCTGCTGTAGACATGCCTCAGGATCCCCTATTTACCCTTTAAAGGTCAGCCTGGACCAGTTTATTAAAGAATTCTGATGTGTGGAAAGGGACACCTGAAAGTAAGATGGCCATTTTGGAGATGAGTTCTGTTATTAACATCTCTGAGAAGGGCCAAGGGCCAAGTTATATGCCCAACCATGTTTTCAACTTGTAAAATTATTCTAGAAGGAAGGGATTCAGTGAGTCAGCAGACACCTTCAGAAAGAGTGTTGGGAGTCTTGAGAACTCTTTAAACTCTTCTGACTCACTGTGTCTCACAGGGTCAGGCATGTGATCTCTCTTTATGAGAGAGTCTCCATCTAGGGAATGGGATAATAATGGTCTTTCTCATTCTTGGGAAAAAGGTGTCCAGGCCCATGATGCCATGGAACTGCCAGCATCAACGCCCCTGTGTGACACTCTTCCTATTTGTAATCTCTTTCCCCAAGCAGTGAGTTGAGTCAACAGGGCAATCCTATCTCAGACTTCAGGAAACCAAATCTCGGAGCGTCAGGTTGATATACCAGAGTCATCCAGTGAGTCACTGTCACAGTAGACAGCAGGTATTAGAACATCAAATTCCAGGTCATTCCTGAACTCCTCAGGCCTTACCGTCTCCTCCTGAAAATGGGGAAATGGGTCCTAATAATAGGCCTAGTTCTCCCATGAGCCAGAATGACTTATCCACAACCTGGGGACAGAGTCGTCTAGGGCAGGTGAGTTAACCCCTTTTGGCCATAATTTCTTGACAAAAGAAAAAATGCTCGGAAATGGTAATAGTTCACACACTGTTCCTGCCGCCACTGGACTGGGATTCTGAGTAGTCTGACCCATTTTATACTCATATCCTTAACACACTGCTTCACACAATGCTTTTTGGCATTAAGGGACATGATCAGGAACCCTGCTGAAGTCTTTTGAAATTGTCAGATGAATGAGGAAATGGAGATTACCTTTGGAAACACTTGGTACTTTGTTACAATGTTAAATGTGCACTTACGAATATGGCCCAGCAATTTCACTCTTGAGGATTCACCCAAGAAAAATAAAAAATTAGGCTCATGGACAAACTATACGCAGTTGTTTAGAGAAGATTTATTCATAACCAATAAAATCTAGAAACAATCAACTAGTGAATAAATAACTGGTATGCAGATCACATCCTGCACTGCATCCAGTCAATGGGATAATACTCAGAATAAAAATCATCGTGATCAAGCGCTGATCAGTGCAACAGCATGCATGCCTCCTTAATATACTCTGTTATGTGAAAAGA